ACCCTCGCCTGACGTGGCATCTGCTAGAAACTTGATCTTGGATTTCACAGCCTCCAAAACTGTGAAAAATAAATTCCTGTTCTTTATAAGTTACCCAGTCCCGGGCATTTTGTTATAGCAGCACAGCAGACTAAGACACAGCCTAAGCTGCCAATTGTCATGAAGATCAGTACTGCAATGAATACACACCTCTCCCAGAAAATGATCTTAGAAAAACTTCTTCCTTTCAGCTTGGATGAAAATTTGTCTATCATGCAGAAATGAATAATTTCAATATGACTTGTGAATTTGGGTTACAAAATTCAAAGTAATGAAGCTGACATAAGAGGCCATCTAGTTGGGGACAGCCATACTGATTTGCATTTGCAATTTCCTTTTTGGAGTAAATGGTTTCATCTTTAGAAAAGAAAGCAAAACAAAAATTTGAGTGACTCTCTGTGACCACCTCTCCTTGGTAATCCTTCTGATAAAAAAAAATTCTTCAGAATCATACTATGATAAGATGTTAACAATAGAGGAAGCCAGGTGTGGGGTGTATGGGGACTCTGTATTACTTCATAATTTTTGCTTTGTAAGTTGAAGACTATTATGAAATTAGAAGTTAAAAAAATTCTTTGGGTTGAGCATTTAGCCTACTGTTTAAGATGACTGTTAAGATACCCACAACCGGACTCAAGAGGCTTCCACAGCCTTGGCAGCTCATGACAAGAGCTTTGGGTGATCACTGCCATCATAAATAGGAGTGTCAATTGTTAAATCAACAACAGGAGTTACTGTGCACCTACTCCCCATGTAGGACCTCTGTCCTTAATGTGTTGTACTATGTGAATTAAGGTACAACTAGTCTTCAAACAGTACTTTATACTTTGTGTTTCTGTGTGGGTGCAAACTGTTGAAATCTACTTAGTATAGAGTTGATCTTCTGTATATAAAGATAATTAAAAATGAATCTTAATGAAGAATGGAATGGGAGAGGGAGTAGGAGGTGTGATGGTTTGGAAGTAGGGTGGGTATGGGGGGAAGAACCGCTATAATCCAAAGTTGTACTTATGAAATTTATATTTATTAAATAAAAGCTTTCTTTTAAAAAAAAGATACCCACAACCCACATTGGAGTACTTGCATTCGATTCCCAGCCCCGACTTCTTTTTTTATTATTATTCCATATATTTTTTAAATTTTATTTAAATTGAACACGTTCCATATATTTCATATATACAGATTTAGGAACATAGTGATACTTCCCTCCCTCCCACCCACGCTCCAACCCTTCCTCCTCCTCCCTCTCCTAGTCCCACTCTTAATTTTTACGAAGATCTATTTTCACTTTACTTAATGATTGGACGGTTAACCCCATGCTAAGTAAAGAGTTCAACAAATAGTAAGAAAAAAACCCTGCCTCTACCTCTAGCTTTCTGCTAATTCACATCTTGGGAAGCAGCAGGTGATGGCTCAAGTACTTAGTCCCTGCAATCCATGTGGGAGACTTGGGTTGAGTTCTTGGGTTTGGCCTGGCCCAGTCCTAGCTGGTGCAGGCACTTGGGGTGTGAACAAGCAGATGGGAGAGCTCTCTCTCTCTCTCTCTCTCTCTCTTTCTCTCTATATAACTGTTTCATCCATTTCAGTTGCTCTTTTCTCTCTCTCTCTCCTCTCTATATCCCTGCCTCTTTGAATAAATAAATATTTTAAAAAATTGTTCAGCCATGTGGCTGGTGTTGTGGTGCAGCAAATTAAGCCGCTGCCTGCATCCTATATGGGTGTTGTTTTGAGTCCCAGCTGCTCCACTTCTGATCCAGTCCCCTGCTAAAGCACCTGAGAAAGCAGCAGAAGACAGCCCAAGTGCTCCGGCTCCTGCATGCAGGTGAGAGACCCAGATGGAGTTCCAGGCTTTTGGCTTTAGCCTGGCCCAGCCCTGGCCATTGCAGCCATTTGGTAAGTGAACCAGTGGTTGGAAGATTCTTTCTCTCTCTCTCCATTTCTCCCTCTTTCTCTGAAATTGTTTCAAATAAATAAATTGTTTTTAAAAAAGATTGTTCAGCCAAACTGTTTCAGCCCATTTCCTTCTCACAAGCCACAGATGGTTTCCCAGTGAATAGGAGATAAAACCTCTAAGCAGAAATAGATTATCTGAATAAAGGTTGAAGAGATGTGTAGGAGGGAGAGATGATAAAGGCAGTCATTGGAATACTAAAACAATCCAGGAACCTCCTGTTATCATCCATTCTTTTCCCCCTCCATGGCTATTCTCTGCCATAACATAGGTTCATGCTATTGTCTTTTTAAAACTATTATATTTATTTGAAAGACTGAGTTACAGAGAGAGGTAGAGCCAGAGAGAGAGAGAGGTCTTCCATCTACTGGTTTACTCTCCAAATGGCCGCAATGGCCAGAGCTGAGCTGATCCAAAGCCAGCAGCCAGGAGCTTCTTCCAGGTCTCCCACACGGGTCACATTCCACTGCTTTCCCAATCATAGCAGAGATTTGGATCAGAAGTGGAGCAGCCGGGACTCAAACCGGTGCCCATATGGGAAGCTGGCACTGTAGGCGGCAGCTTCACCCACTATGCCACAGTGCCGGCCCTTAAGATCCATTTTTGATTAACTTTATACACAGAAGACCAACTCTATACTAAGTAAAGAGTTCAACAATTTTCACGGTAAAAAAAAAAAAAAAAAAAAAAAAACACCAAAAAACAAAACTGTTCCTCAATAGTTGAGACAAGGGCTGCTCAGTCATTGCATATTGAAGTTAATTTCACCTTTTTAAAAAATTAATTAACGAAGCACCCAAGAATGATACATCTTTTTGGAGCACATAGACATAGTTATAATACAACTCTTTGAGGACAGAGATCCTGCATGGGAAGTTAGAGCACAGTGACTCTTGTTAATTTAACAATTAACACTCTTATGTATGACGTCAGTGATCACTCCAGGCTCTTGACATGAGCAGCCTAGGCTATGAAAGCCTTTTGAATCCACAAACACTGTCAGTATTTAGTCAGGGCCATAAGCAAAGTGGAAATTCTCTCCTCCCTTCAGAGAAAAGTACATCCTTCTTTGAGGACCATTTCTTTCCACTGGGGTCTCACCCACCAAGATCCTTCATATGGGAGATTTTTTTGCCTCAGTGTCTTGGATGCCATTGTCTCTATACCACACCCCATACATACACTGACTTTCCTAAGCTTCCTTTTATGGTCTTTCATATAGGGGAGTCTATAAGTGATCAAAGGAAAGAAACCTGGACCCTGACTAATCACCTCTCCTATAAACTGTCTCAGAAATTAGTAGGTCACCTGAAGTTCTTGACCAGACTACTCTGCATCACAATATGCCCTTGAAGAATGTTTCCTAATAGATTAAAAGCAGGGAGTAGGAGGTCGGCATTTGACACAGTGATTAAAATACTGCTGGGGATACTGCTGAAGTATTTGTATCCCATATCATAGAGTCTGGGCTTGAGTACTGGCTCCATTTCCAACTCTAGCTTCCTGGTAATGCCCACTCTGAGAAGGAGCAGAAAATGGCTCAAATGTTTGGACCCCTGCCACCCGTGTGGGAGACCTGGATTGGCTTCCTGACTTCTGGCTTCAGTCTGGCCCAGCCCTGGCTGTTGTGGGCATCTGGGGAGCAAACCAGTGAATGGGAACATCTCCCTCTCCCTTTCCCCCTCCCCTCCCCCTCCCTCCCCCTCTTCTCCTCCCCCTCCCCGTCCCTCTTCACCTCCCTCTTCCTCTCCCTCTCTCCTCGACCCTCTTCCCCTCCCCCTCCCTCTCCCTCCCCCTCTTCTCCTCCCTCTTCCCCTCCCACTCTTCTCCTCCCTCTTCCTCTCCCCCTCCCTCTCCCTCCCCTCTTCCCCTCCCTCTTCCCCTCCCCCTCCCCTCCCTCCTCCCCTCCCCCTCCCTTCCCTCTCCCTCTCCCCCTCCCTCTCCCCTCCCCTCCTCCTCCCCCTCCCATAAATTTAAGAAAAAATTTTAAAGAAATTACTAGACACGTCCACTGGCCAAATCTGGGTAATTTGAGGCCCAAAATAATTAAGGATAGCAGTGAATTTTAAGCCATTGAGAAAAATAGGGAGCTATAAGTCCACAGTGATACTAATCAGATAATGAGTGACAGAGAAGGGAGGGCCTTTACTTGTATAATGTTGTGTGCTGACTGGTAAACCTGAAGGGAGTGCTGGAGTTGGAAAATTATCATTTTGTAGGTTAATTCGGGCAAGAATTATTAATAGATAACCTAGGGGGAAGTTTTGGTGAGGAATACTATGGACTTATATGCTTGTATGGACTTATATGCTTTTCTACACAGATTGTT